TTCATCCCTTATGTTTGTCTTTTTTTTTTTTTAAAGATGACCAGTAAGGGGATCTTAACCCTTGACTTGGTGTTGTCAGCACCACGCTCACCCAATGAGCAAACCGGCCATCCCTATATGGGATCTGAACCCGGGGCCTTGGTGTTATCAGCACCACACTCTCCTAAGTGAGCCACGGGCCGGCCCTTATGTTTGTCTTTGTATTTTCTGGCATGGCACACTGTAGGTGCTCCATCTAATTATCTGTTGACTGCAAGTAGATGCTGTAAAGTCTGTTTTACAGATGAGGAAATTGAGGAATGAGAGGTTAAGCCCACAAGCAGGAGGTGGCCGAAGCAGGATTTGAACCCAGGAGGTCTGGTCCAGAATCCCTGCCCTTACTGCCACCCTCTGCTGCGTGGAGCATGGAGGTGGTGTAAGCTGGGATCTGTGTGCAGTGGGCCTCACAGGGAGGGGCCCCACTGAGGACTTGCCCTCCCCTACCAGGGCACAGAGGTGCAAGTAGATGACATCAAGCGGGTCTACTCACTCTTTCTGGACGAGTCCCGCTCCACACAGTACATGAAGGAGTACCAGGATGCCTTCCTCTTCAACGAGCTCAGTGAGTGTCCCTACCCTGTGCCTCATGCTCCCAGGTCACCCTTGGTGGGAGGAGGAGGGAGCTTGGTCTAGGATAACTCAAGCCCTGCCCTCTGGGCCACACTGAACATGTGGTCTCCTTTCTCCCGACAGAAGGTGAAACCATGGACACCTCCTGAGCTAGATGTCACCCCCCACACAGACTCCTACCCTGTTTTCTACCAGAGTTCTGACACTGTGACTTTGTATAAAGTGGTTTTGAAACAACCCATTGTGTATATGTGTTTGTGTGTGTGTGTGTGTGTGGTCATTGCCCTGGGCCCAGAGAAAGACACCCGCAGAGTGCAGATTGAGAAGCCTTTATTGGGAGGGGAGGAATGGAGCATCTGTTGGCTCCAGAAGTTGGGGTGGACATGGGAGGTTGGGGAGGTCTTTAAAAGAAGAGGAGTCCTGGGAGGTGGGGGTGATCGCAGGCCAAGGGTTGGGTTCTAGGACCCCCACAGTCAGAGCTGCTGAGGCGGCAGGGCCCACAGTGGCAGCTGAGGGCCACAGGGAAGGAGACCATGGGGTCCACACCAGGCGGGCAGCCAGGGAGCTGGACAGAGGCAAAGCGCAGCTCACGGTAGGTACACACTGGCTGGGGTACAGGCGGCAGGGCAGCAGGCAGCACCCGCACCTGGAGGGCGTGGGAGTGGGGGAATAGGCATCTTCCTGGGGCCAGGTCCTCACCTAAGCTCTCCTTCTGTACCTTCTCTCCCACACACCCAGCACTGACCCCAATTCCCCAGCCCCTGCCCGTGGTGCCAAACACCTTTTCACCCCTGCTGCCACCTCCTGATTTCTATGGGTCTGGCCCTTTTACCATGGCACTGAGATGGCAGCATCCATCTGCCCTGGGCAGCTCACCATGCTGGGGCAGTAGCCGGCACAGATGCTGGTGGTGAAGGTGATGCAGATGGGGCAGGCCTCGTTCTCAGCAGCCAGGGTGGCATTGATGGGCCGGCACAGTGGCCGCAGTGGCCCCTTGGATGCCCACACCTCATCCATGCTCAGCAGCAGGCACAGAAGCAGCCCCTGGGACAAGGCCAGTGCCTCAGGTCCGGCCTGAGACCTCAGCCCTGAGGTCTCCCGTCCCC